CCAAAACGCTCACAGGAGGAAATCCTACTTTCCTCACTCTCCACACCACAATATTTTATTCCAAGCAGCCGGTTAGGACATCTAAACCTGAGCAGAGATGTTTAGGGAAGAAATAGAAATGCTGTTTGGCTGGAGCTGGAGTGCGAGGCTGCCCCGTGTCCCCTCCCGGTGCCCTCAGCAGCAGCGGCAGTGCCAAATTGATGGCCGGCATCTCTGCAAATCACGGGAACAAAGGCAGGGAGCTCGCTGCTTTTGTCCCTGCCTGCTCCGCTCACGCACGTGGTTTGTTCCTCCTGCCCAATCTCATGGCTTGGCGGGGGAAAAAGGGACGGGCAGAGTTGGGGCTGCAGTGAAAGGAAAGCACAAGAAGAGAGAATTTTCTGGTGAAAATCACAGCCACGAGTTAACTGCGAGGCTCTGCTTGGGCTGTGAGAGTTTGCAGAGGGCATTTCCAGGCAGTTTTCACAGGCCTTTATCCAGCAAAAAATCAGTGAGCCACGGCATTTGGCCCCAAGATGCCGAGAAGGATAAACGCTTGTAAAGCTTCATGGTGGGTGTGAATTCATGAAATAAAAAAAAAAATAAAAAAAAATAAATAAAAAAAGGAAGTTCGTACATGCCTGTCCTAATGCTGTACTCCTCCAGCTGCCTCCACTCCTGGAGTGGAATTTGGGCTGCCTTGGAAAGGCTTTTTTGACACCAATTCGTTTGGGTCCAATTCCTCCTGGGTGTGTGGCTGTTTTGGTGCTTCCTGGGGCCAAAGCTGTAAAAGTCAGCTTCGAGCTGGTCCTTGGAAGACTTTGCTTGGCCTGAGGAGGCATCTGAGGTCATGGAAAGGAGCTGAGCTGCTGCTGTGCTGCAGATGAACGGATTATTTCCCACTCCTGCATTAGGAGCTCTGTGGATTTAGTAATTTCGCTACTATGATGCTGCTTTTATGGCCCCTCCAGCCCTTTCTCTGCACACCCTTCCATCCTCCGTCCACCCGGGAGCATCTGAAGACACTTCTGAGCCACCAGAGCTTGGGGTTTATCCCAGGAGCTCTGCAGAGGAGCGGGTAGGGATGGAAGGACGCTCCCAGAGCAGGGTTGAAGGCTGGCGGGTGAGACAAAGCACAGGAAAACACCCACGGGAGGCTGTCTCCAGAAACCACTGGAGAAACCTGTGCCGAGGTGTGCAGTGGAGCGCTCAGAGGGATCATCCGGTGTTAAATATGTCGTGTCCGTCTGTCTGTCTCTCCCGTTCCTCTGCTCTCCCCCATTAACCCTTTCCGGGGGCTGCCCGGCTGTGTCGCCCAGCCCCTCGGAATCCAACGCCGCCTTTCCCGGGAGGAAGGTGTCCCATTAAATCCGCGATGCTCTTTTCCCTCAGAGTTAACATCCCAGAGGCTCCCATGGGACCCCCAGGCTCCTCAGCCCTTAAATGACCCTGCAGCACCTGGCCTCGTTATCCAGCGAGTGGGAAATCCTTGGAAAGGAAAAGAGTGGGTGAAGGGAAGAAAGAGAGGATGCTGATCACGACAAAAGCCTCGCCAAGGTCTTTCCCCCTCCAACAGGGCTCAAAACCTGGGATGAGCGTTCCCTACACGATGTTTCCCATGGCTGCCTCTCCCAGCTCACGCTGTCCCGGGAAAGCAGCTCCTCGGGCAGAGCTCATCTCTCAAACTCCGGGAGAAGAGGGGAGGAGCCCGCAGTCCCCTGCCTTGTCCCACCAGCGGCTCTTCCAGAAGTGGCGCCGCAGCTGTGGCAGCCCAGCGCTGTTCGTCACGGGCATGCCATTAATTATCCCCGCCATCGCCAGGAATGGGGGCAGCCCTAATTACAGCCCCGGCCTGTGGGCTTTGTTTGGGCTGGTGTCTCTGCAGCACCGCTTGTCCCGTTCTGCTGCCTTTTGTTTCTGCGTTCGAGGCAAAGAAAGAAGGAGCAGGGGAGGGAGAGAGGATCCTGCGTGCTCCAAGAGTTGGGATGCTCCCTGCAAATCGATTTTCCCCCCTCTCCAGGTCACGAGATTTGGCAGAAAGCTCCGGCAGAAGCTGCTGCTCCGAGGTTTCGCTTTGCCGGGGTGATGAAGGGCTAATTGGATGCAGATTAAAAGTCACTATTAGGGATAATCCCTGCGCGGCCGTGGAAGCGCGGGGAGCATCGCTCCCTTAGCTCCGGCCTTTTGTATTTCCCCCTCGAAAAAAAAGAAAAAAAGAAAGAAGGAAAAAAAAAGATAAAGAATGAAAAAAAGATAGTTGGAAGTGCAGGATGAGCTGGGGGAAGGGAGATGGGATGGGGGAAAGCTGGGAAGAAATAATTGCCATGTCTGAAAACAGTTACTATGGCAGCAACAGTCTTCGCGCCGCCTGAGCGAAATGTTGGGGATCAGCAGCGGTCCCTTTGTCACATCCTCAGACGCACATTTAGATGCTAATGCTGCCTTTAACCTTCGCTGCTTAACCTTGATAGGAGGGGAAGGGCGGCGACGGGGGAGAAAAAGCAGCGAGAGGAGGGGGGGTTTATGGAAAAGATGGGTTTCCTCTCCCTAAATTTGCCACCGAATGGACTTGGCAGACTCCTCTCAGCTGCGATTAACGCTGTTATTTCTGCGCTTAATATTCCGCCGAGGTTTTACCAGCTTATTTATGGATAGCTGGCATTAGCCGCAGCATAATTCACCGCTGCGACGCTCCCGTTTATCTCCATCCCCTCGGGATTGTCTCATCTGAGGCCGGTTTGGAGAACATCCCCAGGTTTGATCAGCCCGGCTATCTAATCTCGCCTTTATTTAGAAACGGCGTGAAAAAAGGAGGGCTGCGCAGGAGGGAAGACTCCCCTTTGGACTTTGGATAGCGGGGAAAGGAATTTTGGTGGCCTGCGTGGCTTTTCTTGAGGGTCCAAGCTGTCTCCAGCAGCGGGATGAGGGAGAGAGGGACGGAGGGAGGGATTTCCTGGGGAGCGCTACCTGGTTGAAACAGCATCTCCTGCACTCCTGGCCCCTGTGAGCATGGCCTCACAGCCCGAAGGTAAATTCCTAAATCCCAGCCCTATTGCACACAGATTAGCCACTAATTCTGGGAGCAGCCCGGGATGCCCTCGCTTCGGGATTATCCTTCACAGCAGCCTTTAAGGAAGCTTTTGCTGGAGCTATTCAGGAAGAAGAGACGAGAGCAGTGCCAGTGCCGGATCTGCCACTCACAGATATGACCCTATTCTTCTGTTTCTGGCATTTTTTTATTCTTCTTTAATGCTCCGGGTCCTGGAGTCAGGTGATCACTTACAGTTTTCTCCACGTGCTCTCAGAACCTCATTTCTTCGGTATGGTGGCAGAGTAAAACCTGAGCTCACACCTGCTCAAAGATCAGTCTAGGACAGCCCTACTGCACAAAATATTTCCAGCCCATCCAGAGCCTGTGCCTCGACTTTGGATTGGCAGTGCCACTTCACTCATGCCAAGGAGTGTTTCTCCCACCTGCATGATGCCGGGCACAGAGTTCCCTGCTCTTTTCCCGCTGTCACCACAGGGTGATTTCCACAAAACTGTGCCTAGTGTCACCTCTGAGGGCTGCAAAAGCAAGCTGCCTGAGTTTTTAATGATGGCACGTGTTAATAGGTAGCCTTATCTCCACACAAAGCCTCCACAAGCGTCCTCGGGATGAAATATGAATGTGAGGGATGATCCCACTCCAGCCCGACAAATCCTCACCGCACGCTGAGGGGTGAAAGCATCTTAAATTAAAAGCAGTATCTGTCTTCTGCAGTGCATTTCTTTCTCTGGGGCTTTCTGGTTAAGCTGTCACATAGAGTCGATATTTATTTCACAAAAGAGGCAATGGGTAATATTGTAGCAACCAGCCTGCTGCTGCTTTTTGGCTCGGGAGGGAAAGCAGAAAATAAAAGCAACAGCTCCGGCTCAGGTTTTGCCCAGAGAAGCTGTGGCTGCCTGAAAGTGTCCGAGGTCAGGCTGGACGGGGCTTGGAGCAACCTGGGGGAGCAGAAAGTGTCCCTGCCCATAGCAGGGGGATGGAACTGGATCGTTAGTTGGAAGTAGATCTTTAATGGGACAGAAGTTCCACGGCTCAGCCGTGCGGCCATGGAGACCTCGGGAGCTTTAAACAGGGGTTGAGGGCACTCCCAACCTTTACAAAACGTGAGACCCAAAAGGCATTAACAGCAGCGATCAACACTAGTGCCAGCCTGGATCCAGAAAGGTTTTCCTCTCGTGGCATCTCTCTGCTTTGGGATGCTATGACAGCTGCAGGGGACACAGACACTCGGCATTGCTCTGCTGCTTTCCAGCTCGAATCATCGCTGGTGCCAGCTGCCCCTGAGGAGCTGTGCCTGAGCAGCTTCTGGTGCACCGCAAAGTCCCTCCTGGTGCCTCAAGGGCAATGAACAATCTCGGAATCCCAGAACGGTTTGAGTTGGAAGAGTTAAAGCTCATCCCATTCCACCCCTGCCATGGGCAGGGACACTTTCCACTATCCCACGTTGCTCCAAGCCTCGTCCAACCTGGCCTTGGACCCTTCCAGGGATGGAGCAGCCACACCTTGGCTTGGCTACTATTTTAAAGGGTTTTTGTTTTTACTGCTTGCTGCGGTCGGTTACGGTGACAAACATAAGGATAACCAAGCTTTCAGCACAGGGGGGTGGCGCTCCCGGGGTTCCCGAGGAGCAGAAGCTCAGGTAGGGACCAGGTGGAGCTCTGGCAGGGGCGGTGCAGGCAGGGGCGATCCGGGCAGGACGCGGGGCGGAGCGGGAGGAAGGCGGCGGCGCAGCCCCTCCTCCTCCTCCTCCTCTCCTCCTCTTTCTCTTCCTCCTCCTCCTTTCCCTCCTCCTCCTCCTCTTCCTCCTGCCGGGCGGGGCGGGGGTCGGCAGTCCCGGCGCGCTGCCGCCGCGTGGAGCCGCGCTGCGTGTTCCCGGTGCCGTATCCCCGATCCCGTATCCCCGATCCCGTATCCCCGATCCCGGATCCCCGATCCCGGATCCCCGATCCCGGCTCCCTCCGCCGCCCCGAGCCGTGCCCCCGCTGCGGGCCGGCGGCGCGGGGATGGGCGCGGGGCTGTGAGCGCGGCCGTGAGCCGTGGCCATGGGGAACATCTCCTCCAACATCTCCGCCTTCCAGTCCCTGCACATCGTCATGCTGGGCCTGGATTCGGCGGGCAAGACCACGGTGCTCTACCGCCTCAAGTTCAACGAGTTCGTCAACACCGTGCCCACCATCGGCTTCAACACCGAGAAGATCCGGCTCAGCAACGGGACGGCCAAGGGCATCAGCTGCCACTTCTGGGACGTGGGCGGCCAGGAGAAGCTGCGCCCGCTCTGGAAGTCCTACAGCCGCTGCACCGATGGCATCATCTACGTGGTGGACTCAGTGGACGTGGACCGGCTGGAGGAAGCCAAAACGGAGCTGCACAAGGTGACCAAGTTCGCGGAGAACCAGGGCACCCCGCTGCTGGTCATCGCCAACAAGCAGGACCTGCCCAAATCGCTGCCGGTGGCCGAGATCGAGAAGCAGCTGGCCCTCCACGAGCTGACCCCTTCCACCACCTACCACATCCAGCCCGCCTGCGCCATCATCGGCGAGGGGCTGACGGAGGGCATGGACAAGCTCTACGAGATGATCCTCAAGCGCAGGAAGTCCCTCAAGCAGAAGAAGAAGCGGTAGAAGCCCAGCCGAGGCGGGGAGGGATGGGGGAGCAGACAAAGGAACCGAGGGGGAGACAGAACCAAAGCGATTCTTTTGGGTTTAATCGTTCTTTTTTTTTTTTTTTTTTTTTTTTCCTTTCCCTTCCTCTTCATTTTTTTCCCTCCTTCCCCAAAGGACAGACAATAGTGGTGATAACAAAGCGGCTCCCGCCAGCCGAGCCCAGATCCCGGAGCTCCCCTCTCCCACCGCCCCGTGCTCCTGAGGGTCTGATCCGGACTCCTTTGGGCTGGAAACATGGAAAAACGGGATGAATCCCCCCTCTCCATCCTCCGGGACCACCGAGCCTTTGTGTGCCGGGGAACCAACAGGGCAGGACCTTGTTGGAGTGCGTTCGAGCGGAGCCCAGCGTGCTTTTGGATCTTTAACGTGGGCATTTGGGGGCATTTGAGGTGTCGATGCCAGCCCCCCACATGCATTTTGGGGCGGGGGGGTCGATGCTGCGGAGGGTGCGGATGCACCGCGGCTCGGCAAGGTCAGCGGGGAGGGGGCTTGCAGCCCTTATCCCTGCATCCCCGCATCCCTGGATCCCTCCCCCGCGGGCGGTGGTGGGAAGGGGTGTTGAAAGCTTGGAGTGGGGGGGTTGGACCAGCAGAAAGCGTCTTGGAGGGGTGGGTGTGATGGGTAAGGGGACATCCACCCACCCCTGGCTGGTGTTTTAGGGTGCAGAGCAAGGACGGGCAGCCTTTGGTTTGGGGGGGAGGATGCGACACTGGGGTGCTGAGCAGCTGCTGGGTGGTGCAGAGCTCTAAGCTCTCGGCTCAAAAAAGGGGTAAAAAAGGGAAAAAAATACCCAAGAGTTTGGGGTGAACGCTGCTGGGAGCTTTGGGGGGCTCGTGCAGGACCCCCGTTTCTCAAAGGCTCGGTGGTGTCACCTTCTGCAGCAAAGCCAAGCCCCCCGCTGGTGCGCATTGGCCCCGTGCACGGGGTGCTCCCAGGTGCGGCTTTGGAGGTGATCCAAACCAGGGGTCGCTTAGTAAAACCCCCAAAAAGGCAGAGTTTGGGGTTCTGGCCACTGTGCTTGCTCCGCAGTGAGGCAAGAGGCCAAGTCGGGGGAGTGGGGGTCATGGCAGGGCAGGACAGATGGATGGACAGACAGACAGGGCCAGAGCCTGCAGAAAGTCTCTGCTGGAAGGGGAAGATGGCAGGGGCTGAAGAGGCATGAGGGGGTTGTGGTAGGTTTTTAATAAAGATTCAAACCTGATTAAAAGCCCCTCACTTCCCCCAGTAGCCACCTGGGCAAGCTCTGCCTGCAGAGCCGGGTCGGGCCTGGCCATCTCCTCCTGCAGGGAACATTTTGGTACCTGCATGGGGCTGGGCACCAAAATCCACTTGCTGCCTGTGTTCCAGCCTGGGATCCGACCCTCCGGGGTCCTGGCTTCCCACAGAGCTGAAGCAGGCAGCCCTCAGGGGTCAAATATCCTGAATTTGGAGGCAGGTAGGATTTTCTGGTGATTTTACACCAGCTTTCCCGTTTGCAAACCCCAGAGCAGCCAAGGGGAAAGCACCAAGCAGACAAAAGCAAAATGCCCTTCGGGTTTCGGGGAGTTGATCCTCCCCTTGCAGTGACGAGCACCTTCCACACAGCATTTTTGGGGGGGGGCGGGGGGTTTTGTTAGGGAACAAATGTTGCAGCCGAGTTTTGTTTCTTCTCTTGCGGGGTTTGAGTTCCCGATTTGTGTGGGCTGGTCCCATCCCTTCAGGTGGCTCTCTTCCCGCTTCCTCGGGTTTCCCTGCTTTGTCTTCACCTCCAACACTTTGGTACTTGCAGTCGAAAGAGAGACAGAGAGAGAGAGAAAAGAATTATTTATTTTTGATGCCACAGAAGCCACATGTATTAACCCTTTTTTGGGAGAGCGACCTGTTTGAAATGTAAAAGCTGTGTTGACCCCAGCAGCTCCAGAGGGATCAGGTTTTAGGAGTGACACGTGCAGGCTGTTAGTGGTGGGTTTTTTTTACCTCCTGGCTGGTCTCAGTTTAGCAAATGCTAAAGGAAAGGCTGTTTTTACAGAGCTGGGTCTTTCCTGGGAGCTTGTTCCACCCAGGAGAGATGGCAGAGCGCTGGAAGGTTCGGCTGAGCCGGGTGGGACGCTGAGCCCGTGCCCTTGCCAGCCACTCTGCTTTCTGCAATAATTAAAAAGACTTTTCCAACGAGCAGCTCCTGGCTTCCGTGGTGTTTCCGTGACGTTTCCTCCACCACCCCGTTTTCCCCTCCTTGTGTGAAGACGAGCGTCGCCCTCGGTGGGCTGCAAGAAGAGGGGCCTCAGCAGAGCAGCTCCCAAGGGGAACTGTCTGGGCTCTTTGCAAGGTTGTGCATCGTCTCGGATTATGAATGACCTGGGGTGTTTTTTTTGGCAGGTCTCACTCCCCCAGGTCCGTTTGCCGTGCTCCCATCCGCGATATCCCGTGTCCTGCCCTCACCATTGTCCGTCAGTCTCTGTTCTTCCCGCCTCCTTTTTTTCTTTTTCTGGTTTTTGTTTTATTTTTTAAGGTGCAGACATAATGCTGTGAACTGAAATAAATTATTTATACAATGAAAGGGCCTGATAAAAAAAAAAACAAAAAAGCAAAACAAAAAAAAACCAACCAAACCCCAGTGTTCTGCTCATTTCTCAATATCATTGCTGCGTTTTGTGCGGTTTGAAGGAGGTTCCTGCTGCCTCCCCAAGGAGAGGAGACAAGGGGACAGAGAAGTGACCTGATGAGGATCCAGTGTCACGGGTCTGTCACGTGGCAGCCCGCTTAGGACATGGGGGACATTCATAATTTGCTGGTTAATGAAATCTGAGCTCTTTTGCAGGTCACTTAATGGCTCTGCAGTTCTGCTGCTGTCTGTGAGAAAGGAGGATACTTTTTGGTGGGGGGGATTTTGTTCCACCGCCTCCTCTGATCTTAAATCCACGTTAGAGGGGCGATCACACAGAGAGAAAGTTTCCATTTTTACTCAGCGTGGCTTTTTTTAAACGGGTGGCCTCGGGCGAGCGGTGTCGGTGGCAGAGAGCCAGGTCTGCAGGGGTTAAAACACCACTGGGGAACAGGATGCTGCAGACAGAGCTCGAGGCTGCCTCTGCTCCTGGGTGGCTGCTGACACAGGAAACCCAGGGTGACATTTCGGAGGGGAGCGGTGGAGCTGGGTGGCAAACGACTTTTTCTTTTGGTTTTTTTGGTTGTTGTTTTGTATTTTTTTTTTTTTTTTTAATGATGATGAGGCAGCCAGAGGGGAAATGATGAGCCTGACTTGTGAAAGTGAGATTTGGAAGGGCTTGGGGTGTTCTCACCCCGCCCAAGGTTTGTGGGATGTGCAGTGCCTGGGTGAGGGGATGTGGTGTCTGCTCTGCACCATCAGGGATGGGGGGGCTCTGAGGGGTGAGAGGACCCCGGAGCACGGCTGGGGCTGTGTCAGGGCAGGGTCAGGCTGGAGATCAGGGAGAGGTTCTTCCCCCAGAGGGTGCTGGGGCACAGCCCCGAGGCTGCCAGAGCTCCAGGAGTGTTTGGACAGGGATGCCCAGGCTGGGATTGTTGGGGTGTCTGCAGCACCAGGGGTTGGACTGGATCCTTGTGGATCCCTTCAGCTCAGGAGATTCCACGATTCTTTGAACCCAAAGGCTTATCCAGCGCTGCAGCTGCTGAGCTGCTCTCAAGGCTCAGAAATCCTTCGGAGCTGAGCTGGACCGTGGCGTTCCAGGATTGAGTGGATTGCTCAGCTGCCCCCTGACCCTGCGGAGAGCCTCTGGAAGGTGCAGTTCCCCACGGGCTCCTTCCTCACACACGGCATCTCCGACTGGCTCCTGTCCCTGCCCTGACATGGTCCCGTGCTCCTGAAGATGTTCCTGACCATCCTCTGGCCCCATTGTCCACGGGACACAGTGTGCTCCTCCTGCTTTCATGGATCTGAAAGTCCAGCAGTGGATGCTGCAGTGCCCGCACCTTCCTTAGCCTGAAGGCACTTTTCCTCACCGATCCTACCTGGCAGAAGATGATTGTTGGGGGTTTTCCAGCTGCCCTGGACGTGTGGACTCTGACATTGTGTCCCTGGGCTTATCTGTGTGCCAGGGGAGCTGGACTTTGGTCCCTTGGGCACCACATGGAGCTGAGGGCTGGGGGGGGCAGCTCCTCCTGGTTTAAAGGGGGAACCATCCTTTCCCCTGGGATGGGGAAAGAGGAACGGCTGCCAGGGTTTGGGCTGTGGCTTTGAGAGGCTGTGCCCGGCTGTGTGTGTCTGCAGCTGGATCTACCCTTTTCCTCCGTGGAGGGGCCGAGCTGGGATTTCTCCCAGCGCTTGCGGGAAGGGGCGGGAGGGGCTGTGCCCTGTGGCCAGCGGAGCTCCTTGTGCTTCCAGCGGCAAGGACGGACATCCTCCTGGCAGCAGCCTGTCCTGCTGGCCGGAGTGCTTCTGTCAGCACGGGGGGAGGCGGTGTTTGGGGCCGGTTGTCATGAGAACATTGCACAAGGGGCTGCTGACCTTGCTGGCCCTGATGGATGGGGCTGCGCCACCTCTCCGGGCGGGCGGGGCGGCCAAACAGCGAGGGACAGTCCTCGGCGCGATGTTCGGGGACCCTGGTGGCACACGGGGTCACCGGGCAGTGCCCAAGGATGCTGCCCCTGCACCAGACCGGCCGGGAGAAGAAACAGCGAGGGAGCAGCTGGGTTGTGGGCTGCATCAGTGGATGAGGACCCGGAGCATTCCAAGAGGATGGATCAGGGCTGGGAGCAGCGGGAGGCGAGGTCAGGGCAGGAATAAGCAGAGATGAGCCACCAGTGTGTCCCCTGTTGCTCCTCTGCTGGTCCCTGACAGACCCCTTCTCCCTGAAGGCCACCAGGAAAGGCTGCTGAGTGATCTCCAAGTGCTCCCATGGACACGGGAGCCTCTCCAGCTTGGTGCATCCCACTTTTCCATGCACGCAGCTTCCCGACATCTCCTCCAGCCCGGGAGCCCCTTGGCTGCAGGTTCTGCCTTGCCTGGTGCTGTATCAGCCACAAAGGTCCTTCTGCCTCTCTTCCCTGGCTTTGCCTCGTTAAGCTAAATCCCTCTGCTTTATTTCAAATGGGATTTGCTTCCCAAGCAAGGATCTTTAAAAGGATCATCTTGGTTAATGCAATCCGGAGGGCGCTGGATCCTTGGAGTGTGGTGTAGTGCATTGGCAGCTATTGCACGGCACCAGGTGCTTCTGGCCAAATTTTGGGGTGGGCTGAGGATGGCCAATGCTTTATAAAGGCTAGAAACCGCTACCAGAAGAAAGAAAAAAAATCCCACTGTGATTCAAATGTTG